GCCATCCCACCCAACGTTTGTAGTTTACCCAACTTCCGCAGTCATGTTGCGAACGCTTCACTTTGTGCGATTCGGTATTCACTAAACGTTCAATGGGCCAAAGAGCCAATACCCCTAAAGGAAGACAGCTTTGATTCTATCCTGATTCACGTCTATTCATTGAATTACGGATACTGGGCCCTTTGGGTAACTCGAAACCCCCAAAGCCCCGACAAAGCCCCGTGTTCACTGCTCAGGAGTCGCTGGCGAATCAGCTGGGATGTGACTGGAGGCCTTTCCGGGTTCTGGTTCAACTTGGGGTTTAGGATTTTGGGGAAAATGGGGTTGAGGGATTTCGGGGGGCGAATTAGGATTCAGGTGGGTTTAGTTTAGGGTTTTGGGGGCCTGGGCAGTTTTTCAAGACACTGTATGGAGATCAGGGTTCAGGGGAGGAAATAAGGGTGATGATGTGTAGCACCCGAAAAGTGAAGTGTACAACACTCCCACCCCTGAGTCCGTTGGTGTAGGGTCATGGGTAGTAGTGGTGCCAAGTTCTCTTGAATCACGAGTCGGGCAAGGTTTCCTTCATTCAGAGGGAGGTTCGCGGTTGATGGGAATCTTGCCGAAGGCTTGCTCGCTTTATGTGCATATCAGTGGGCACCAAAACCTAAACCCTAAACCCCTAAACCCCTAAACCCTAAACTTTCCTAAACGCCAATCCAACATTCCCAAAGCCCCCGAGCTCCCCTAGCCTAAGCTCCGCGTTTGGGGGAAGCTCGGCACGGAGCCCGCGGTAGCTCCACCTAAGTTGCGCGGCCAGTCTTGTTTTCGAAGAAAGCAACCATTGAGTATCTGAACTTGATATTCTTCAGGACAGGCCGCCGGGAATGAACTCATCTCTGCGCGCAAAAGCCGAAGGAAGCCAAAATCCTTGGGCTTGCGAAGAAAACCCTAACCCCCAAAGGGGGGACCAACTAGTTTTCGGAAGTGCCTATACCGCGCTCCGACCCAATTCGGGAGCTGAGACCTTGAATCCCAGAAGCCTGCAGTCCAAACCCTGTGCCCCTGAGCTACACCGCAACTTGGGATAAATCGCAAAGACCTGGTTGAACCGTCTTGACGTATCCGCTGTTATACAATGGGTTCAAAAATATTTGTATACCGTGGGGTAATATAGGGGCCTTAATAATTAGAATAGGATTTTGAGGTTTTTTTATATTACAAATATAATAAGGAACCCCCAAAATAGTATAGGTAATTATTAAGGCCCCTATATTAAGTCCTGTACTCCAACAGTGGCTCGCGAGGCTTGCTTTTGCTCCACGATTTCGTCGCCCTCCCTATAGCCTCCTGGCATGTGGCGATGTGTATTTGGGGCTCCAGTCCAGCATTTGGTTTGACATGTGGTGAGTCCTGGTCAGGTGGGGATCCCTTTCTTTGAAACCCTAGCTAAGCCCTAGGCCCTAGCTGTCAAAACGGATCTTATGATTTTATTCCGGGCGTTTACAGAGTTCCTGTTTGTCGGGAATAGATTTAGGAAGGTCAAGGACTCGGCCATGCACCCTCTTAGGTTCTCCCCCCACGAAGTGTAGCTTCAGGTCTCTAGGCATTAAACTTTCTTGCTTTTGGGGTTTCAGGGCTTCTGAGTCTAGGCTTTTCAGGGCTCACTGAAGGGCTGGAGGGTTCCCGGAGTTCAGGATTTGGAGCTTCACGGGGTTGGTACGATTGATGATATAAAACCTGCAAAACCCATAATAAGGAAGATACAATAATTCCCATAGTTTAGGGTCCTTAAGCTAATGCAGGATTTATATCTACAAGGATTGGGATTTGGGTGCGAAGGCTCCCTGGCCAAGGCTGTGTTTCAACCTCCTCCGACTCCTTTTGGCTTCGCAATGGAGTGGCTCGGAGCAAACCTTTTGATTAAACTCAAAGAATACCTAAATCTATACCTGTGGCCCATACCTGTGGCCGTAAGTTGCGACCTTCGGCGGCCCTTCCTGGCAATACTCTGCAACTGCTGATAGACAAAATATGCATCACCCATAGCCATGGCAAGGAATGTACCATAAGTCTCACGGTTCTGAAATGATAGTCTTCCTGGCTTATCATAGGTCGCAAGCTTTGGTGCTCAAAAAGTTCGAGTTCTTATACAGATCCTCGTAGCAGTCTAGTTTGACACTCCATTGAATAACAAAGTAGGGCTCCACGGAGATCACGATAACCTGTCTGTTAGGCCTACGTAGTAAGTCGAACAACAGGGTTTTGGAACCTGTTGGGTGGGAGATCCTTGCTGTACAGTTGCAATCTCAGGGTCTTTTCCTGGGTGTAGGGTGTCTCAGGCTTAGCAGGTCTGGCGAAGTCCGGTGTAAACTATCGCAGGAACTCCCTTAAAGGAACCCTTAGATGAGGATCTTCAAGCCTAACCTGCATTGTTTTGCATGTCAGTTTATTTTAATCCGAACAGAATCGAAGCAGCATGCTTCCTTCGAGAGGTCCTAACACAAACTAGCTTTTGACACGTCACGGCAACTTCTTGCAAATGTACAGGTCCCGGAGTTAGCCCCTAAACACTGGCCAGGAGGGCCGCTAGTCTATGGAAGTAGACCATATAAGCGGGCCCCTGATTGGGGTTGCTGTAGGTTGTAACGATAAAGCTTCTGAACCTTTAATTCCACCCTTAATGTGCACTTCGAAGTCTGCACGGATGTGGGACTTCGGGTTTTGCCTGCAGAGCCCAAGAAAGCCCGTTGGGTTTGATCCAAATACTTGCTGACCCTCATAAAACAAAAACCTGGTGCGAGCGAAATAGCAAGATATACACAGAAGCCACTGACAGAAGCAAAGTACCGGGTTCTTGCTTCGATCGGGCTTCGGAGGCTTAGCCAATGGTTCCTGAGTTTAGGCGTGCTCTGGGTCTGAGTAGAAGTCCGCGGTTAAATTAGATGTAAAGTTTTGGCGAAAAATCGGTGGTTCGGTGCGCGCAGCTTCTGTAGCATATGTGCATCGAAAACAACTGCCCTCTTGGCTTTGTAAGCTGTGGGATCTTCGGGGTTTTAGGGTTTTTTGTTCAGGATCTGCGGTGGTTCGGGTTCAGTGTGAAGGTAAAAAAACCAGCCTAAACGTAAACCTTTGCCTATACCTAAACTCCGCTCCCACCCCGCCTGCCCCCGGTGCACAAGAAACGACCCTTTGTCTCCCCATGTACGAAGTTCAGTGAAAAAGATTCGAACTACAGTAAGCTCTTTATCAGGCCCTGACATGAGGGACACGGGGTTCTTTTCTCCCCCTTAAACGTTGCCACGCGCATGGAGTAGTTCAGGTGGCTGTCGGCTATCTTTTGGACCTTGAACATCGTGGCATCCATGACGGTCGGCTTTACACGAAATGGTGTCACAGCAGCTCAACCTGCAAATGCGTACGTTGGATCCTACACCATGAGCCCTAAAACCGACACAAGCCCTGGGGGTCTATAGTTTGTGCTGAATGCGGCTAGTAAAGTAATCACGAAGCCCTCGCGTTCACATATCACCCTGCCGCTCTGCGGTAGAAAGAGCTTTCACCTCTAATGCTAGGTTCTAGGCAACCCAGAGGTCAGAGCCCAATACCCCAAGGCATAACACCGCACACGGAAGCATGCTGAAGCCTTCCTGTCTTGTCTTCAACGCCCAAGGTTCTCTTTTTCGAAGGTTCACATGTATATATACATATATAAATATCAGATCAATCGGGGGTGTCATACTGTGCTCCTACAACCAAGACTTGTTCGAAGGATGTGCTGTTCGATTGTGGTGGGGGTTGTGTTTCCGCTTGAACACCCAGATTACCATCTTTCAGATTTCATCTGCTGAAGCCGCGGGACATAGGCTTTGCTTTGACACATCGGTTTCCCATCAAGGCCCAGCTTCTCGGTGGTAGGTAGGTAGGTAGGTAGGTAGGTAGGTAGGTAGGTAGGTAGGTAGGTAGGTCGGTCGGTCGGTCGGTCGGTAGGTCGGTCGGTCGGTCGGTCGGTCGGTGGGTGGCCAGGTACGAGTAGGTAGGTGCGAGTAAGTAGGTACGAGTAGGTAGGTAGGTAGGAAAAGGAAGTAGGGTAGGGCAAGGGTAGGGTAGGGCAAGGGTAGGGAGGCAGGTAGGGAGGGAAAAGGAGGGAGGCAGGGCGTCGGTGGATCGGTGGCTAGGTGCGCAAAGGTGATGTATAGGTAGGTAGGTATAGGTAGAGATAGGGATGAAGGTAGGGTAGGAAAGTAGGAAGGTAGGTTGGTACAGGAAGGGTAGGGAGCGGGGAAGGTAGTCGGAGGAAGGCCTGCGAATGTGTCTTAGTCTGACCAAATGACTCGCCTTGCCTTGGCCCGCTGGTTGGTGGGTCCCTCGGAACCGGCCTGGCAGGCTCCATCAAGTCACTCACTGCGCAGCTTCGGTTTGTGCTGATGCTCAATGCTCAATATTCAATATTGGGCCGTGCGTTCAGGTGCAGTTGCTTGGCGATGCTCCTTATACACGGCAGCCACAGAAGTATGTCACAGGTCTTTCCTCATGCAAAAGGACCTCTGCCGCATGCTCGCTGCTTTCGACTTTCTCAAGGATGGCATCATCCCTTTCGCGGTTCGCTCGCTTGCTCGTTATCCTCTCATCCTCATGGGGTACGGGAAGATGACTGTGGTGTTCTCGAGTTATACGATGGCGGAGGGGCAAAGCACCGAACAGGAGTGAATGTGATGAGAGAAGTGCAAATCGTCCGAGAGGGACAATACGACATATGGTCGCTTGCCTTAAGCAGTGGGGCTGCTGCAAGCACAAAGCCCCTGAGCGAAGAATAATCAGGTCATAGTTTTGGTCTTAGTCAGCACAATCTTTGCAGAGCGCATCAGGCCACCAAGGCCGTCGGAGAGGGAGCGATGCCGGGAATCACCGAGTACAGGACGACCGTTGAGAGTCTGCAGGGGACGAGTCCCACCATGTTCCACCAGAGGCTGTGAGGCTCCCAAATTGTATCTCACAAGCTAAAGCCAAGAGACGATCGCCTACGGCGCAGGGTTCTTGAGAGCACTCACGGAGGATTGGCCGCCGGGCACCCGTCTTGCCGCCGTGTTTTGTTGTAATCTCTGTGAGGTCTTTGAAGTTGTGGGTAACCGGCCGATGATAACGATTTCTACAGATCTGTGCAATCGGGTGTGCTTCTCGTGCCTGTTTGCAGTCTGTCCGCCCCACCCATTGTGCGTACGAGGCGTAATCGGTGGCTGGTCCCTGGTCTGCCTCCACCTGTTATTCATGCTTGGAATTCTGAAGCACCCCTGGCATGCCCCAGCACAAAAGTCTGCCCGACGAGCCCAGCAGCACTTGGGCCAACGCTTCGTTTCTTGTTCTCCTGCCTCTCTCGCTCCCTCTCTCCCTCCCCGCACGGCCTCCTTCCCAGGTGCCGGATGCACGCTGCGGATGTTTTCCGTGCGCTTGTACGGAACGGAATCTGGCGATGGGACCTAGCCGAGACAGTAAACGCAAAGAACAGTCTGGAACTCTACAAGCACTCTTCTTAAATCATCCAAAGCATCAAGGCCAACCTCAAATCCAGATGCAGCAAATGCTGATGAGGCGTTGCTGCCGGGGTCCCCGCTGCGCCGAAAAGCACGGCAAGGGAAGCAAGCTGAATAGCCCGTTGGGCCTGACGCTGAGGCTGAGGAGCACCCGAAAATGCGGGGAAGGTATAGCTATTAGCCGTCATGACGGCTTTCCATGGACTTCTGGGTGCTGCATCGTGCCGGATGCTCGGTATGTTTTCTTTCTCTCTCTCTCTCTCT